GATCGATTAGTTGCCAAGATATCTTCGATCAAAGTTTTATAAACACAGTTTTATTATGTTAATTGATTTTCGTCGCATAAAAGCAATAGCAAATCGCAGCTTAGAATTATTTGTCAATCATCACGTGATCGACACCGCCATTCGACACCACTAATCTACTTTAAAGTCAGCATCTGGAATTACAGTACCTTCATTTATAAATTTATTTACAAGTAAAAATATTCATAATCCAAATGGTATTAATTATAATCTTATTATTGAAAAAGCACAGTTTTTAATTTTTTCTCACCTTTGGTTAATATATAATGAGTATAAGCTAACTTTTAAGGATTTACAAGAAAGTACTAACTATTAAGATCATATTAAGATGCTTTTAGTTCATAGTTATGATAATAGAATATCTCAATAATGATCAGATATTCTACAGAAAACTATGTCAAGGCTTTAAGAAATATTTTAAGCATTCTAGAGTTAAAGTTGTATCTTGAGTATCATATTCTTGTAGATTATCCTAAGCAGTTTTATGTACAATATACTGTTTTATTTTGTCAAAAACCTAAAAATAGACTTGAGTTTTTACTTTTATTGCTTTATATCATTTTAATGATTGGTCTTTTGCATGTTTCTTTAAATTTTTGTGAAACTGTTTTAACGCTAAATTATGATTTTTTAATTAATTATATCTTGAGGTATATAGAAAGAAAAAAAAACTATCAAAAACTCCTAAATCATATCAAATTAATATATTACTTGAGCTTACTATGACTGAATAGAATCCAATAAGAGTAGATATAATAAAAAAAATTCATAGTTGTAAAGATGCTGAGGTAAAATATTTAATTGATAATTTGCTAGTCAACCAGTGAGAGGTCATAATGTAACATAACACGATTTATATATAGAAATTAGGGTTTTGCGAATGTGGGCTGCATCATTTTAAAACTTTTTTTATACTAAGTTAACTACTTTTAGGCTTCTAATTAAAGTTATAGAGCTCATTGAGATGAATCTAATAATAATAGATCTTTTAGATAATATTATACTATTAGTTTTAGATTTTTATCTATTAATATTTTGAAGCAGTTACTAGCCAGCATATATAGATGCAATATTTCATATTGGTTTTTTTTTTAGATATGGTTAAAAGAATTATGAAAAACTTTTATTAGCTTTTTTAGTAATATATTTTACTAGTTTCATATAAATTACCTTATAGCACAAGTTATTAAACAAAATATTTATTTGTTTAATAACTATTATATGAAAAATTTTTATTCCTTGCCTTATAAATAACCTCTTTATTATAGTCTTTTACTTTATTAAGATCATCTACCCTTTCTTCACTAAGGTTAACTGTTTCATCTGTCCTTTTTTTGCTAAGGTTAACTGTTTTATCTGCCATTTCTTTGCTAAAGTTACTGTTTCATCTGCTTTTTCTTTGCTATAATTAACTATCATATCTACTCTTTCTTTCTTGCTATAATCAACAGTTTTATTCACTTTTTCTTTATTCAATTTACTTGCTCTTACTGCAGTATTATTATTAGCTCTCACATTGTTAGAGTAAATTGAATCAGAACTAGGATCAGTCAAATCTGATCTTGCTTTAACTGAATCGGAAGCTCTTTCCTTATTAGTTTTTGCAGCAATAGAGTCAGTCAAATCTGATCTAGTAAAGTCAGCCAAATTCAACCTTGCTTCAATCAAATCTTCTGAACTTAAAGCAATTACCTTGTCATAAATATCAAAATAATTTGTAACAACTTTATAATTTCTGCACTATATGTTCACCAAGTTAATAATTCAGTCTTTACATTTCTCTATATGCAAAAATAAAAATAAAAATAAAAAAAAATTTAAAAATTTGCAAAAATTACATTAGAATTTTTGTATTTTATATAAATATATAATATTTATAATTCTATTATAATTAATTATCCACGCTGTAGAGATTTTTGTTATTATAATTTCTCTTTCATCACAATAATATGCTTTCATTATTGTAATTACTTAGACATCTTGGTAATAGATTTTTATTACAATAACATAATTACTAATATAATAGATATTATAATTACTTATATTTTTATCATAGTTAAAATTACTTGGCTATTAGTAATAGATTTTATTTTATTCTAATTACTTGACTACTACAGTAACAAATATTTATTATAATTATAATTACTTGGGCTATAATAGGCTTTTATTATTACAATTACTTGAACATTTGTAAAATGTTTATTATAATTATAATTACTTGACTATTACAGTAATAAACCTTCATTATAATATCTATTTGTCTAAAATAAACTATTTCAATAAAATATTATTAAGGAAGATGCATAACCAATTTCTATTTTGAAATGGTAGACCTATAAATACTTTAATGAGCAGTAGTTAATTACTTAATGTTATTGCAATTACTTGGCTATTCTGGTAATAGGCATTCATTACCTAATTGCTTGGGCACAACTGAGATGTTTTTATTATTATAACTACTTGTTACTATAGTAATAGGTAGTATAATTACTTGCATTTCATTATAATTATAATCACTATAACTATAATTACTTGACTATTATAGCAACAGGTGTTTATTATAATATCTATTTGTCTAGAAAAACTATCTTAATAAAACATTATCAGTGAAAAAACATAACTGATTCCTCATATAAAAGCAGTAGATATTAATAAATACCTTAATAAGACATGAACATTTTTTAAATTTTTAGTATTGTTAAATTACTTAATTTTATTTGCAAATTTTTCTGTTTTACTTGTATGCAATCACATATATGACAAAATGTGATTAAATTTTTTTTTAGAAATAAATTTTAAAAACCTTACATTATCTCAGAGTTTTTTTGGCTAATATTAACCTCTGTTTTTCAAATATAAATATATTTTTGCAAATTTTACTGTAAAAATAATTTATTGGATTTAGAAAGGTAGTGGTAAATTTAATAAAATCTTCTTTATTTGATTGAATTATATTGAGTAAGTAAGCAACAACGATGAAAACAAATGATGAGAAAAGAGTAAAAAATGATCTTATATACATATGTAAAAAGTGAAGTTATATGTACAGGTGATACAAAAACAAAAAAAATAACAACAAACTCCCATGCATGATCTGTACGATATAAATTGTTTTAAACAACTACACAATTTGGCAATTTGGTACAATGTAACACTGGGGTATTCAGTCAAATTAGCCAGGGCAGCCTCCTAAAATACTGGTCACATGATGAACACTGCAGCTGCAGCTATATGTTTCTAAACTCCAACAATCGTAAATTGCTTATATATTCCAACAATCGTATATTATCATTTCCTGATTGCGAAGATTCATTATGTGACAGTACTTTGGAGGGCGCCCTGGCTAATTCGGTATTCGGTCAACTATGTTTAACAAAACTATATATGCGGTATCTTATAATAATAAAAATCAATTATCACGGATTTTTTTTATCAATAAAACTAGAAATTGCACATGCGGGTGGCTTCACCGTCCAGTTCGAAGTTGATGATATAATAGGCAAAACAATAATAACATAGTGTTTTTTATTATAATTTAGAAAGAATAAAAAATTTTATTCTTTTTTATTGCATTTTGCAAAATTTTATAACCCCTTTGACTACCGTATATTCCCGATTAAAAGCAACCTGATTTTGGAGCCAAAGATTTGACTATAGCTATTATTTTCTACTAATAAAATAGTACTCGAATAAAAGCATCCCCTTCACTTTGGCACAAAAAAATGTTATTTTTTTGCAACATTTTGGTTGCTTTTGCTCGGTAACATTACTCACTAATAATTTAAAGCGAAAGAACAAAGAAGTAATATTTAATAAGAAATTTTATTAATGATAAAATGTGTTACATTATTTTATATATAAACTATATACTGAAGTTCTAGTAACTTAAAATGAAAAAAAGTAAGGAATTCTATTGACGATAATATGTGCATATTATTTTATGTATAAACTATACTTACTCACTAGTAATTTAAAGCGAAAGAACGGAGAAGTAATATTTAATAGAGAATTCTATTGACGATAAAAT